CCTGCAGCTTTGCGAAGGTTGGGGTGGTTTTGATTGTCCCTTTCCCTCGTTTATCTCCTTATAAACATTTGAGGGCCTTTTGGCAGTGTGTCTAAAAAACCTTTTTATTAGATGTATTGTCAAGAATGCAGCATTTTATTTGAGTGTTACCCCAGCCCCCTGCCCTGAAGGTGTCAACCCTTTTACTAGGACATCGGTGACTATGGCCCTACCTTCTAACTCAGGGACAGAAAAGTTCTTCTGCAAAGGGAAGGATGGTAGCTATCTTAGGCTTTGTGGGCCAGATGGTCTCGGTGGCAACTATTCAGTTCCTCCATTTTAGCAGGAAAACAGCTATAGGCGATATGGAAATTACTGAGTGTGGCTGTGTTCCAATAAAACTTTATTTACAGACACTGAAGTGTTAATTTTGTATCATTTTCATGTATCACAAAATATTGTTTTAAATTAAAAAAAAAAAAACAGTTAAAAATGTGAAAACCATTTTTAGCTGGAGGTCTGTGCAAAAGCAGATGGCCCGTGGGCTGGAATTCACCAACCCCTGCTCCAAACCACAGCTTAACCCAAGGGGGGATGCCAGCCACCACCTGGTTGGAGGGATTCATTTGGGAAGCAATATGGGTCAAGCAGGTGCCTCCTTGAGAGAGACCCCTTTGGAGGATCTGGGGGGCAGAACCCCCCTGGGCCCAGAACACAGAGCGTGTAGCCAAACCCACTGCCGAGAGAGAGGGACGAGGGTGGTGGGGAGCTCAGATTAGCTGAGAGAAAGCCTGCAACTGCTCGAGAGAAAAGGTAGAAACAAAGGCTTTTCATACCCTGCATTTAAGTTAAAATCTAATTTAGATGAAAATGGATGCATAGAAATGAAATGTGCGTGCGAGGCTCTCGTTACGCTGTGTACCCTGTAAGGATAGCTTTCCCAAATCCATTCCCTTGGCTCGGCAATAAAGATGCTTTTTGAAATTTGATTTTGTTGTTTTACAAATTGTTTTAGCTTTGTGAATAGCGCAAACTCCATTTCTGATCTGCCTCAGACAAAAACAGAGCATTAAAGTGTTTAAGATTCAATCAAAGGCTCGCTGCGAGCGGCACCATATTAAAATAACGGAAAAATCAATTCGATTTTTATTTTGAACGTGATTTGTCACAAATAGCAGTCTAATAGATAACACTGATTATATGGTAGCAGATGTAATTTATATATACCGAGCTCTACATCTTTGTCAGAGTCGTCATTAAGAAATTTGACACGTATGCAGGAGAACAATAAATGTCAGCTGAAATATGTACCAGTGAGGTACCACCGGGAGGCTGAAGCCAGCCCACGCTATACTTATAAGTGATAATAGGCAGTCCAGAGTAGCTTGTGTTTTCAAACAAGAACTCTTTTTATGTTGTCATTTAAAACATCTCATATTCCTCCTGAAGGTCAGGAATAAATGGCACTATTAGCATTTAAAGCCAGTAAAAGGGAAAGTAATTTGTTGTTCATTTAACATAACATTTTATGAAACAGCTTTGTAAAGGATTCATTATGTTCCCCCCATGGGAGGCGGAGAAGGCAGGATGGAGATGCCTGGTCTTTAACGGAGGGCTTTGTATCACACCTCTGTCGCTGCTAACGATGTTGTGGAATGATGGGGGGCGTGTGGGCAGGCCGATGCTCAGACCCAAGCTGTCTGCACAGCCGTGATGTCGGCTGACTCCAGGGGGAGCTGCCTGGGTTGGGGGCCGGGTCCTCATGATAGTGCTGTTTGGTACAGGGACGACAGCTAGTAAGACTGTCAGAGACGGAAGATGAGGGGTTTTGATGTGACAGACGTGGGTCCTGAAGAGAAAGAGAAAAGCTCTTGCTGTCTGTCTCAGGAACAGTGGCAGATAAACCAGGTTGAATCCAAATACAGACGTGAGAACATCTTGGGGTCAGAGAAACCCCCTGAGTCACCTCCCTCCAGAAACCCTTCCTACCAGCCACAGGTCCTGACTCCAAAATATTGTGAATCTCTCTGTCTCCTTTTCCTCTTACATTTGGATCAAAAACTAAAAATAACGTTGACAAATGGCACTGTATCTACCTCCTTAAATTAGTCAAGCTAAATTTTTTTGGTCATATTTGCTCCAACTCCTTTTGTAATGAAAAAATAACATGGCTGTTCTGGCCAGTTTGGCTCAGTGGTAAGAGCGTCACCCGTGGACCAAAGAGACCTGGGTTTGATTCCGGCCAAGGGCACGTACCTCAGTTGCGGTTCATCCCTGGCCCTGGTTGGGGTTGTGTGGGAGGCAACCAATCGATGTGTCCCTCTCACATCGATGTTTCTCTCTCTCTCTCTCTCTCTCTCTCTCTCTCTCTCTCTCTCTCTCTCCCCCTCCCTCCCTCCCTCCAACTCTATCTGAAGATTAATGTAAATATCTATCTATCTATTTATCTATCCATCCTCTGGTTAGGATTTAAAAAAAAGAATAAAGAAAAAACATGACTGATAAAGGATTCTGCATGTCTATGTTTTGATATTTCATACCAGATATGCAGTGAGTTGTAGGACTTTGTGAGTAAAAATGCACGTGAATGGTATTTTCTGTATCTAAACGTTATCATCCTGACACTTGCTTTTCTCCTGAAAGGATATTTGAGGGATCTGCCCATGTTGACACAGATGGACCCCAGTTCATTCTTCTTCATCACTGACGTTGTGCTTTGGACCATCTGATGGGTGTGAATGTCATGTTGTTGCTTTTGTTTATATTCCCCCATGACTGGTGGAAGTGAGTCTCAAACCTTTATTATTCACTTTTCTCTTCATGCCTTGCCTGCTCATGTTACTTTGTCCACTTTTCTATCGGATCATTTTTTCTTTTATGTGTTCTGAATACCGATCCTTGGTTCAGTCCACTTCAATTACCTTCTCTGGGGCTGTGTTTGTCTTTCATCTTGGTCGTTGGTGACTTTGTTACAAGAATAACTGCAGCCGGCCATGTGGCTCAGTGGTTGAGCAGCAACCCATTCACCAAGAGTTCAACCAGTTAGATTCCCTGTCAAAGCACATGCCCAGGTTGTGGGCCAAATCCCCAGTGGGGGGCATGCAGGAGTCGGCCAATCCATGTTCTCTCTCATAGATGTCTCTATCTCTCTCTCTCTGCTCTCTCTCCCTTCCTCTCTCTCTAAAATCAATAAAGAAAAAAAATTGTTTTGAAGCATCACTGTGGCCTGCCCATCCTTCCCGCTGCATTCAGGGCTGCTGATCACGTGCCAGGCACCCTGCTAAGAGCTCCGCCTTCTTTATCCTGTTTAATGGGCACAGGGCGGCAGAGCCTCTACTGTGCCCGGGGAAGTGTTGAGGTCGCAGAAGGGGCGTCGCCAGCCCAGGCAGGGAGAGGAAGCCAGATTCAAGGCCAGCTTATCACACTACAAGAATTAGTAGGAGCCAAGGTTAGAAAGTGCCATTTAAACTCGAAGAAGGCGCACTCGGTGGTCCTCAGCCTTGGCTGTTTGTCTCCCTCGGGAATTCCGGTGGGTCCAGGGTGCAGCCTGGAAGTGGGGTGTCCTCGGAAAGCTCCCCAGCCGTCTAGCGCGCGGCTGGGGCAGAGAACCCTGCTCGGTGATTCGCGGTTATTTGAGATCTAGGGGATCTCGAAGGTCTCAGACGAGGACCTATGTCACCGCAAGGGGCCAAGATGGTAAATGCTGTACGCTGCTTCGGGAAAAAGAATTTCAGAAAACACAGAGAAGAAAGGAGAGTGAAAGAAAAACCCCAAGGTACTGGCTCAGCCCTTGGTTCTGCCAGGAGTCAGAGGCGTTCGCGCGGGGAATGGGGCGCTCCCGCGGGGAATGGGGCGCTCCTGCGGGGAATGGGGCGCTCCCGCGGGGGAATGGGGCACCCCTCCTGCCCTCACTCCGGGAATCACTAAACGAAGGCATGCAGGAGCGAAGAGCGGGACAGGGCATGCTCCCACTGCCCCCAGCCCTGAGGGGGACACCTGTGCCTGGCACCCGCCTGTGGAACGAATGAGCGGTCGGCGGGGTTGGCGGGAGACCGCACCGGCGGAGGCCAGGCTGGAAGGCCGCACTCAGCACTCATCGTAAAGGGTGTTAGACGCCTTGAGACCCCTTAGAGCCCACGGCAGGGACACGCGCACCACATGCATCCCTAGGTGCATCTGTGAAGCCCTGTGAAGAATAAAGACGCTCTTTCTATCTACTGGAGAATAACGTCCAATTTATTGACCGTGTAAAAAGCAAGGCAAGAACGGTGTGTCGTAGGCGACCATTTGTTTAAAATCGGGCGGGAGTGAAGCTGGGGTGTGTGAGACAGGGACACGCACATATGCACGTACAATATTTCTGGAAAAAACTCAAGTTGTCCCTGGGAGAGGAACTGAGAGTCTTGGGGGCGAGGACCAGCGAAGACGTGCTTTGCGGAAGGATACTCTCTGGGTTGGTTGCACTGTGTACGGCGTGCATGTCACTTTTTTTTTTATCCTCACCGGAGGATATTCCCCCATTTTTTGTTCAGATAGAGTGGGAGGGAGAGAGAGAGAAACATCCACGTGAACGGTACACGTCCAGCGCCACCACAAGCCGATGCTCTAACCGCTGAGCCAAACCGGCCAGGGCGCATGTCACCTGTTTAAAAGCCCCTCTTCCCCCCACGCGCAGAGTGCTCACGCCGCCCAGGCTGCTCTGCATGGGGTCAGCTCCCTCTGCTAGGATGTTAAAAGCTGGTGGGCAGCACGTGGAAGTGATGGTGAGCTTTTCAAATGGGCTAGAACGTCACTGTGTACATTAGAAGCGGCCACTCCAAATGCCCCGAGAGAGATGGTGGCAAAGGTGGGGGTGTGTGTGGGGTGTGTGTGTGGGGGGGGGTTCAGGTCTTCCCCGTAGCCAGTCTTAAATGTCATTTCCGAAATGCGACTCCGGAACATGGAGAATGTCAGACTAAGGCCGCAATAGCTCGAGGGCGTTAAGCATTTATTTCCACAAAGATACAGGAGAGCCCCACATTTTTAACACGGGGAAAGAGAGAGTAAACGGTCTTCTTTCACTGTGTCACCGCTGCAAAATTGGTACCTGTGGAGGAAAACATTTTCAGCATGAGGCTCCTTAGCTTGTGGAAATGTGACCTCAGAGGAGTCAACGGTGTTTAGCCAACCCCTGGAATTCAGATCCTTTGGACGGAAGGGCTCTGCGACACCACCCGAGTCCAGGTGATTCTTACTAAGCAAGACCAGAGCACCCTGCCTCCTGTGGCCTTTTAGCTGAGAGGGAATCAGCCGGGTCAGACCAAGGAGTCTCCAGTGAGCCTGAAGCTTTGGGCCTGGCAATGAATTCAGGGTACAGGGGTGCCCCAGCCTGCCCAAGGGAACTCTTCCTAGAGTTAAGATCCTGGAAGGTTCTTCATACACTGCTTCTGGGAATGGAAAATGTGGCAGCCTCTTTGGAAAACTATGTGGCAGTTTTTCTAAAGGTTAAACAAAGAGTTACCACATAACCTAGCAATTCCGCTCCCAGGTACATACCCAAGGGAAATGAAAACATGCGCCCACACAAAAATTTGTACATAAATGTTCTCAGCAGCATTTTTCATAATAGCCTCAAATCAGACACAGCCCTAATGTCCATTAGCTGATAAATAGATAAATAAAATGTGGTATATCCATATAATAAACTACTATTTGACAATAAAAAGGAATAGAGTACTGACACATATTACAACATGGATGAACCCTGAAAACAGTATGCTACATAAAAAAGCCAGTCATAAAGGACAAATATTGTATGACTCCATTTGTATGAAATGCCCAGAATAGGAAAATCTATAGAAACAGAAAACAGGTTGCCTAGGGCTGGAGAAAAGGGATGGGGCATTATGGGGTGATGGGTATGAGTTCTTGGGGAGAGGGTGATGAAATGTTCTAAAATTGACTGCAGTAATGATTCACAACTCTGTAAATGTACACTAACTGTGTACATTTAAGATGGGTGAATATCTGGTATGGAAATTATATCTCAATAAAGATGTTGAAAGAAAAAAAAAGATCATGGAGGGATGTCACTCCTGCAGAAGGTGGAGCCTACCAGGTTGGGGCTGCCACCCAGCCATGGATGCAGGGCGCTCTGGCCTCCTCTTTTTCTTGTAGGTATCTTTGGCTAAAAAGGGATGGTTGACCAAGCAAGCTTCCCTCAGGCTCAGCTTCAGAATGTAGCTCCTTGACAAGGAAGCCCTCATGTGGGGTAGACACCTTGGTGTTTGGGGTATATAGTGTGTGAGCTAGACTGCACATGAAAACAATAACTCCACCCTCACCCCCACCTAAATACTGTGCCACCCAGACAGTTCCACAGTGCTCTCCACAGCCAGGCCTTACAAACCCCTCAGCTCCACGTCCGGCCGTGTGAGCTGGGCAGGCAACAGCGGAACGAGGGCTGGACTAGAGGTCAGAGGACTGGGGTCCAAGTCCTGGTTGTGTCGTATGCCCAAGCTCTGCTCTTGAGTATACAAAGAAGTGGCACAGCCACAGTGACATCTGATTCCAACAACACGTCCAGGAATCGGGTCGGTCACCATTTATAGTCAGCACAGTTAAGTCATGCAGCTGAGCTAGGTCTTGGTATGTGTTTTTGAAAACAATCTGAAGTCCAATATTCTTCGCTCTAGCTCTCCTGTGTGCCCCTAGACAAGTTACTCGATTCTATGAATCTCACTCTTCTCATCAGACAATGAGGGCAGCTGAAGGGTGATCTCTAAGTTTCCTTCAGAAGCCGACATCTGTTATTTCTATTATTCTCTCTCTTTTTTTTTTTTAATCCTCACCCAAGGATATTTTTCCATTTTTTGTACAGATAGAGTGGGAGGGAGAGAGAGGAAGGGAGAGAGAGAGAGAAACATCGACGTGAAGGGACACATCGAGTGGCTGCCACCCGCACGACCAACCAGGGCCGGGGACAAACTGCAACCGAAGTACGTGCCCTTAGCGGGAACCGAACCCGGGTCTCTCCGGACCGCAGGCTGACGCTCTAACCGCTGAGCCAAACTGGCCAGGGCTATTATTCTCTTTTAAGATGGCCTCCTTTCTTTGCATATTTTAAACACTGTTATGTTCTCTCCCAACTCTTACCAAGTAAGATTCCATTCCCCCAGCAAGAGAAGAATCTGCCACTGTGAGCTAGATCCTAACAAGATAATTCGTATTTATAAATGCACCCCAACTGAAATTAACTCCGAGATTTCCTACAACGACTGCCCAGGTGTTTTCCTTATCGTTTGAGATAAAACAGTCTCACATTGGCCTATTTCTTGAATCTGTGCCTTACAACTGATGCCTTGCTCCTGCCAAGTTGGATCTGGCTTAAGGAAGATGATATTTGGTTTTTCAAAGTAAATCAGATGGAAAGATGGAGAGTTGAGATGAATAGTTGGGTAGATGAATGGCTGGGTGGATAAGTGAATAGGTAAGTGGTTAAGTGGGTGGACAGAAGGGCTGAATGAATGGATGGGTAGATGGACACATAGATGGGTGGCTGGGTGATTGAATGTAGGCACATATGTATGCATAGATAGACTGACAGGTAACTACAGAAACAAGACTTGAAAGATACGCACGTAGTTCCATCTTCACCACTCTGCACTGTGATGCGGGAAGCCCCCAGTTTGGGCCGGAAGAGATTTATCACATGGTTGTTCCAGAGGAACTTAACCTTCTGGATTTTTCCCACATTGAGGTCCACATCAATGTCACGCATGTGACTTGCCTCTGGTTTGAGGGATCCTCTGAAAACATAGACGTAAAATGTTGTATCAGCTGAATCCAAGAATACGTAGGATGATAGCAACCTGTTGTTTCCCCAAACAAAGGCTGCTGTTGGTGGTTTTCTGTAATTACCTTGAATGACTTCATGCACAAATGTATTTGTGAAGAACACACACACAAAAAAAATACTGGACTCTAGATAGATTTCCACTGTCTTAGCTGGTACCTAGAGGGAAGTCAAATATTTGGGGTAGCATATGAACTCTCTGAGTTCACCGCAGGACTGATTATGTCTCATGTTTAAAGACACCTGTGCTTCAGCAAAGGTCATCTGTGGGCATCTCATATGTAACATAAGAAGTGGTCAAAGAACTTTAACTTAACATGAAAATTATTGCACACAGGTAGCACAAACACAGAATCTAATTTTATAGCACAGTTATGCATCCATCCAACACATTTTTACCAAGCTAGGTGCTGAGGCTACCACAGCAACAGGAAGCTGGCCTCAGGCTTCACATGTATGTGGGGGATGGAGTGAGTGTGTTGGACGGGAAGGCGTCGCTATATACATGGGCCTTGTCTAAGGAGAATGTGATTGCACAGAACTGAAGCGGGAAGGAAGCAGTGATCGGCAATCCAAAAAGGATCAGCATGGAAAATGGTGAGTTAGTCCTGTCTGGGTCTCACTCTTCTCACGGGGTGATCGGACTCGATGCTAAGCCTTCCTTCCCGCTCTGACATCCTGGGAGTCAGCAGTGCTGTATAAACAGATGGCTAGAGGTATAAGGAAGTTTCTACCCAACCTTTTAGGAATAATCTATGAAAAGTATGGTCGTTTCGCTTTGCTATCAAACTTACTTGAAAATTTCATATTGTTTTGAGCTTCCATTACTTCCATATAAAGCAATCCTGATGTATCCACTCACTTTCTTCTTCCCAGCCAGTGTGACTGATACCCTGTATCTCCAACCTGTGCAAAGAAAGAACTACAATCAGTTCAATGAACTCAACTTGTTGGGAAAAATGACCCCGTGGACGCATTCTTGTTCCGAGCTCTGAATCCCCCACGAGTGGGAGGTAAGGGGGGATGCGACTAATGGTTTCCTTCATGAAGTTGGGGTCCCAGGAATTCAGATTCTGGGTGGGGTGAGGGACTCAGGGAGAAGTAAATATCATAGTTCAGCAAACCTCTTGCCAACCCAGCCGTGTCTGGTTCCGATGGATGGGGTCGCTGGTCCTCGCACTGTGTACCTTTGGTGTGCACCACACCAGAAAGGCCACCGGGATAGGACGGCTGTGGTTCCAACACTTGGATACATCACTTACTGTTCTCTTTTTTATTTTTGTTATTTTCCCATGCAGTGGACATATTCTCAGTGTCAAAACAACCCAGACACATTTTTTTTTTTTTTAATCCTCACCCGAGGATATTTTTCCATTTTTTGTTCAGGTAGAGTGGGAGGGAGAGAGATGAACAGAGAGAGAGAGAGAAACATCAACGTGAAGGGACACATCGAGTGGCTGCCACCAGCAGGACCAACCAGGGCCGGGGACAAACTGCAACAGAGTTACGTGCCCTTAGCGGGAACCGAACCCGGGTCTCTCTAGACCGCAGGCCAACGCTCTAACCGCTGAGCCAAACCGGCCAGGGCAACCCCCCAGACACATTTTTTAAAAATAAAATAAACCCTTCCTCAGCACCCTGTCTACCTGCCCTCCTCCATCTCAGGTTCTTCCCTGAAGTAACCAGTTTGGTCTGCATACTTAATCAAGCTCAGGGGATGACTTTGCTTCCCAAGGACATGTGGCACAGTCTGGAGACATCGATGGTCACACCAGGGGAATGGGGTGTGTGCGTGCAGAGCTACTGGCATCTAGCTGGGAGAGGCCACAAATTTGCTAAACATTCTGCAATGCAAAGGATAGCCCCACAATAACAGATAATCTAATGTCCAATGTTAGTAGAGCTGAGGTTGGGATATCCTTATCTAGAACTCTCTATGAGCATTTACACATGTATATATGAATGTATAAACATATAGGCTTTCCCCCCTCCATAAATAGTGTGCATTGTTATTCTCTGCCAGACACCTGGTACTAGAGCAAAGAGGGAGCATATCCCTCCATCTCCCTCCTGCTTCTGACCTCCTGGGCAAGCCTCTGATAGGCTGAAGCCCACAGAACGCCAGTGGCAAGGATCCCTGGTGAGGTCAACCTTCTGGAGCACAGGACAGGACACAGAAGGGCGGTGGATCTGTCTGGTGTAGGGGTGGGTAGACATGTGATCCAGCCTGGGCCATTCACGGTCGACTAACTACACAGATCAGGATTATTGGCTAAAGGGGTGAATGTGAGGCCCAAGACAAGTGCCATTCTACTATCCTTCCTTTATAGCTTAAGCTGTTGGGGTTTAGTTTCTGTCCATTGCTACCAAAGGTCCTAACGAATAAGGCTGATACACCTTTTACATTTATTCACAGCTTTTAAATGGGTAAACTGGAAACTTACGAGTGAAGTTCCCACTCTCTCCTGTGTTCAGGAAGAATGTTTGTCCCACAGCACTGGTTTTCCCCTGAAACTGGTCCGCATAGTGCCCCATTTTGGGGCATCCTCCGACTGGACAAGGGAAACAGCTATTCTGGTGGAAAAAACAATAATTTGTCTGTGAGTGGAAGGCCTTTGACTCAGTCAGTTGATCACTTCATCTTTCAATCCATCTATCCACCCACCCATCCATCCATCCACCCACCCACCCACCCACCCACCCACCCACCCTTCCATCCATCCATCCATCCATCCATCCATCCATCCACCCATCCATCCACCCATCCATCCTTCTATTCATCCATCCATCCATCCATCCATCCATCCAGGCCTATCCATCCTCTCATCTACCTGTCTTTCCATTCATCCAGCCATTCTACCCTCCATCCCTTTGTTAATGCGTGCATCTTACCCATGCCCTCCATGCATCCTTTGGGAATTTTTCAGAATGAAAACTTGGGGGTCTAGGGAAGGGTCAGCACAGTGAGTTCTGTGCCACCCGCCCCTGCCCACCCTGCTCCCTAAAGGAAGAAGGCTCGTGAGGCTCAGCATTGCCAGTACCTCCTCTTATTAGTCGTGGAGTTACATCTCTGCTCTGTTCCAAGCCACAGGGACAAAACCAACAACAACAGAGCCACCCACCACATTTTCCCTGGGCCCTGGTGTGACCTACCTCCTGAAACTCATCATAGGAGGCACACGGGTAGGCCAGGAAGCCGTCGGGGTTGAGGATGCTGCTGGAGTAATACTTGTAGCTTCTCAGGTGGTTGCAAGCCACGAAGTCTCGGGTTCCTGGGAAGCAAAAGCCACAGGCGCTCACGGGGGCCTTTCCCCCTGAAGCTTGGGCCGTCCTGACCGAGTAAGGAATCGCCTCCTTGTGTCACAGATGGGCGTGGGCATTTCCGAATGCCTTGGTCACAAGCCAAAGTTTCTGTCGTTGACTTTGACATACTTTGGGGCAAGTAGGACATTTAGGGACCTGTTCAGTGATGGTGTTTGGCTGGAATCGCTTTCCTCTCCCCACCACTGTGTCCATTTGCTGAGCGGGGCCTGCTCAGGGTTAGGCCAGTGCTGGGGGGGACGACAGGTTCTAACACACACGTTTGTCCAATGCTCCAGGGACCAGACATGGGACATAAGTGAATGATGAGGGCTGGGGACTTTGGGGGGAATGAGAAAACACATATTCAGATAGAGAGAGAGAGAGAGAGAGAGCGCGAGAGTGAAGCAGTAGCTTTAAAAAGGGAGCTCACACACTCAGCCAGGTGTTGAATGAATGTCAAGGCCCAGACTGTTTGGGCTTAGGCGAGAGCAGTGCATTCCTACTTTCAAACCAGTCACTGCAGGCCGGCCGACCACACGGCTGCAGGTGCCGCAGGGCCGGAGGGCCCAGTGTGAGGACTGCGGACGGCTGGGCAGGCTTCCCCAGGAACCCGTGTTCCTGTGCCTGTGGCCTCAGGCTGCGAAATTCCTCCTTACCAGTCCGGGCACAGGGAAAAAGCAGTGGAGATCAAGGTCATCGTGGCCTTCTGGACACTCTGTCACTGCATTTTATTTATCACCTTTTTCTTTCAACCCAAGTCCTCTTGTGTGCAAAATTGGTTTTTCATTTCTCCAGCTACTTGGTACAAAACTTCCCATGGTGTGATCCACAGTGACCCCAGACATACCTGGGGACCCCTTCTGGGGGGTCTGGTGGGCTTTATCCACCGCCCACGGAGAAAAGCTGGGTCCCCTTTGTGCCGGGGATTAGCTGTCCACGGCCGCAGCTCTGCCTGCCTCCCGGCCCATGGCTTCCCGCCAGGCCGGTGCGTGCCCCACACCAACGCTCATTACCAGACAACACAACCTGTTTCCAACTTAATTGTTTCTTTCATCCCAAATTGCTGCCCAGGGATCCCATAATAGAGGAGCAAGTGGGTTTAATTGTTCCTCAGCGCCCAGCGCCTGGGTGACTCGGAGGACACAATAGAAGCACACTCGAGTGTGCATGGGCTTGTTCACTCTAAACTGCCTCTTTAATTAAAGCTGGGCTCCTTTCTATTATGTGGGCCCCGCTCGTGGCTTCTGGGAGGGGGCCGCCTTCATTGTGGCTCTGCTCCTCCCGGGAGCGGAACAGGCGTGTCCTCCCCGGAGTTACCTGGTGCTGAGCAGAGAAAGGGCAGAGGCTGCATTTACTGACTGTGGATGTTGGTCGTTGCTTTACTGACTCCAGTTTTGCACGTTACGCACATGGAATAGTAAAATGCCACTGAAGGCCACTCAGCTCAATGGGGTGGACTGCACTGAGGTCCTGAGCAGGGTGTGGGGGGTCTGGGATGCCCAGGACGCAGTCCCTGGCCTTGGGAAACTCCCAGCTCAGGAAAAAATGAAAACGAAGTGATCACAGACTCAAAGCTTCCATTTTCCGGAAGGAGATGAAGCCTGGACCCCAGGGAGAGGCAACAGGAAGAGAACAAAGACCAGGAAAAGGGCACATAATAGGGACGGTGCTTTAAGTCACCGGACATTAGGGGACTGAACCTGCTCTGTCTCCTGAACGAAGACACGCATGTGGACGAGCAAGGGGCCACACATCAAACCTGATGAACCCAGGGGAGGCCTGCATGGGGGCTTTGCAAACTCAGAGGCCAAAAGTAACCACAGAGGATGGTCTGAACATAAAAATTCCAACTGAAAGTAGGTCATGGCTGGCAGGCCTGTCCTAGGCCTATAGCTTCCTTGACAAAGATCAACCTTCTGTTTAAATCCTTACCCGAGTTTTTTTAATTGATTTTAGAGAGAGAGAAAGGGAAGGGGGAGAGAAACATCAATGTAAGAGAGAAATATAAATCGGTTGCCTCCCATATGTGCCTCGACAAGGGATCGAACCCACAACCTTTTTGGTGTTCAGGACAATGCTCCAACCAACTGAGTCATCCCACCATCCCACCAGGGCGATAAAGGTCAACAAGGAGAACACCAGACCACAGAACCCCTCATTGTGACCTTCTTTCCCAGATCCCACCTCTATGTGCTGTAAATGTTCATTGTTAACTGTCCTACACCCACCAATGTAAAAGAAGTATGTGTTGCCTGGCCGGTGTGGCTCAGTGGTTGAGCATCGACCCACGCACCAAGAGATCGCCGGTTCAATTCCCAGTCAGGGCACATGCCCAGGCTGTGGGCTCGATCCCCAGTGGGGAGCATGCAGGAGGCAGCCAGTAAATGTTCTCTCTCATTGATGTTTCTATCTCTCTCTCCCTCTTCTTTCCTCTCTCTAAATCAATAAATAATAAATTATAATTAAAAAAACAAAGAAGTATGTATCTCTCCATTTTACTTTTCATTCAATCATAGAGATTTCCCTGCCTTGCCTTCTCTGCCCTCCCTAATCTACCACCAGTGGATTTCATGTAACCCTCCTTACGTCTTCTCCTTTGATAATGTGTAAAACAAGCTGCAAAACTGCCATTCTCTGGGGCACTTTCTCAGTCCACTGAGATTTTGCTTCTCAGCAATTGTCATCCGTTTGGCTCAAATAAACTCATAAAATTTCAAGTTTGGACATTTCTGACATCGACGTACACAAGGTTCATCGCCCCCCCCCCCCCCCCCCCCCGCCAGACCTCCAGGCCTTCCCATCCACACAAGCGCTCCGCAAATCCACAGAGCATGTTCCACTTGGTCTATTTACCAGCTCAGTCCCTTTCTAGTCCTAGCACCTGCCAACAGCAAAGGGCAAGAAAGTCAGAGCCCTCCAAATCTTTGTGTATGTCCCTCAATGAGCAAGCAGTGAAGGTAGGATGGGGGCCAGGGGCGGGGGAAAACCCAGAGCTGGGCATTTGCCAAGCTGTCCATCCAGCTCATGTCTCAGCATCCTGATGAGGGAGGAGATGATGCAGGCTAGGGTATGAGGTTGGGGCTTTGCAGCCAGAAACTGGGCTTCAATATAAGGTGGACTTGGGGAAGTTTTACAGCTTTTCTGATCCAGTTACTTCATCTGTAAAATGGGGACAGAGTACCTAATGACACTGTGACAATGTCTGGGACAAAATAAGCACACCATACGTGGTGGCAAATTCAGTATAATGAGGACCTGACCACACCTGCTTTCTCCCCAAGTAGAGCAGCTACCATCTTGCTTTGCTACTGTACATACCTTCCCACAGTCCATTTATATCAACGATGGTTGAAAAGATATTTTTCTGACATCCAGGCATTTGCTTTCCTCCATTTGGGTAGAAATCCAAATGGCCCACCTTTTGGCTCATTCCAAAACCTGAAACATTGGAAGCAGAGGTGAGCAGGGAGGTAAGTGGTCCCAAGGCAAGGTCCTGGCAAGGTCCAACTCCTTTCAACCAGAGTGAGAGTCTTCTTGGCAAATTCTCCCCAAAACCACCCCGTCTGGATTTGCAGAATGTCTTCAAAGATGAGCCTTGGCAAGACAAGGAGGAAGGAGAGAGCGGAGGAAGAGAGCATGCCCACCTGTGTATTTGTATGTATCTCTGTCTGTCTGTCTGTCTTGGGGAGGCCCTGAACAATACTGATACTGTGTGCCCTCATACCATTATGCATCACTAGACACCTCTCAGGACTAGTGCAATTTCTATTATTTTATTCATTTTATAATTTTGATTTCTATGTTAATTGTTGTATTGAGACCACATCACATTCTATTGTTATACCGAGAGCCCAGCACAATGGCTGGACGCTTTGACTTTTTTTTTTTTTTTTAATCCTCACCCGAGGATATTTTTCTATTTTTGGTTCAGATAGAGCGGGAGGGAGAGAGAGGAAGAGAAAGAGAGAGAAACATCGACATGAAAGGGACACATCGAGTGGTTGCCACCCACACGACCAACCAGGGCCGGGGACAAACTGCAACCGAGGTACGTGCCCTTAGTGGGAACCGAACCCGGGTCTCTCAGGACTGCAGGCCGACGCTCCAACCGCTGAGCCAAACTGGCCAGGGCCGCTTTGACTTTTTAAGCACACAGACCTGTGATCCCATCCTGGTCCTAGTTACGCACCCCGTGATCCTGAGAAATTACTAAAGCTTTGCGAGCCTCGGGTTCCTCAGCTATGAATTAGTAACAATAATACCCGCTTTTTAGGGTTGTTACTACGATTAATGAGCTCGTGTGTACAAAATGTTCAATGCAGTCCATGGTAATCATCATCATTATTTTTTAAAAATAGCCTTTATTGGCATGTTTCATGAATGGTTATATAAGAAAATATTGCAAAAAGAACATTGATCTTATTATTTACTTTTTACATAATCTTATTTATCTATTTAAAAATTTAATTTATTCAAACTAAAAAAAACAATTCACCCTTTTGATTTTGGAAGAATCAAATAAAGGAATATATTTAATCTCCAATATCACAAACTATAACCAAAGCTTTCACAAAAGAAGTAAGCAAAATATTCAAAAATTAACTTTGCATTTCGCAAGTGTAGATCAAGCATCAATAATAAATACATCAGCCACTCCGGACAGTGGCCGACTAGAGAAGAGCACAGGGGTTGAAGATGAAGTAACAACTTTCCATAGGATAGAGAACTGTTTTCTGTCCTCTCTGGGGCCACAGGTAGATAACACTGGCATTGCACTGGCTGTTTACTTGTGGCTGGCACCCACTTTGACTGGCTGGTGTCCAAGCGATTTTCTAGTTAACTGTTTTGAATACCAACCCTATCATATGTGTGTGTGTGTGTGGGGGGGGGGGGTCGTGGGTACCTGGACCAACTCTCACCAGTTACAGCCCTGGTCACCAAGAGGCGGAGTGAGGAACTCACCTAGGAAAGGGATTATAGGTGCGGAATCCGTGTGAATCACATCCACAAACATGGCATCGGATGGGTCCAGCCGAACCTCCTCAGGCGTGCCCTGGAAGCACGGCTCTGCCGGATCCAGTCCTGAAGGGGGAGGTGGTCAGCGAGGCCATATTCTAACCCCTGGATCCACCACATCCATGCCCAGCTCATCTTCAAAGAGCAGCAGAGGGTGGAAGGAGCGGCACACACGACTCAGTGACCTATATTCTAGCCCAGGTTCTGCTCAAGGTCAAATGCCTGTCCTCTCTGAGCTTCGGTTTCCTCATCGAGAAGGTGGGAATACAGCAACCTCCTTTACAGGGATATTGTGAAAACCCCATGCAAAGGTGTAAGAGAAAAAACTTGCACAGTTGCAAATGAACTTGGTTGCACAGGTGTCTGTGTCTACATCTTATGTATGTGCCTTCATTTTGCCTAGTCATTCATTCATTCATTCATTCGTTCGGCCATTCCCAGTATTTAGTGAGCACGTCTTGTGGCAGGTGTCAGCTGGCCACTTTCATGTTCTGCCTGTGCCTGGCACAGCAAAGACCATCAGAAGTATTTGTGGAAATGATGAATGAGTATTAGAAAAATCACTTTGCTTTTTAAAATCTACCATACTCTAGCAATAATAATCCTAAAGTCTTGGTTTAATGTGCTAGTTATATATTTCTGTGTTGTTTTTTTTATAAACGTGTCTTTATTTACAATCATATATTTTTATAATTCACAAGAAAATGCATGGGCAATTATTTTTTAAATCTAAGTCTGGCAGCACCTAAAATCAGTTCCCGGAGGACCAGTAGGGGCGCCCTTGGCTGTGGGAAGTGCACGCGTGTGGCCCCCGCGCCCCCGCGCCCCCGCGCCCCCGCGCCCCCGCGCCCCCGCGCCCCCGCGCCCCCGCGCCCCCGCGCCCCCGCGCCCCCACCTGTGATCCTGCCCACGCGGCCCCCCAGCCTCCTGCCCGCCTCCGCGGCCGCGTGCGCGCCCAGGCTGTGGCCGATGAGGTGCACGTTCTCCAGGCTGTAGCCCAGCTGGGTCTGCGGGCGAATGGCGCATCAGGTCCCCCAGGCCAGGGTGGAGACCCGCTGGCTCGGGAACGAGAACGGGCATGAGGGCAGGTCTCAGGGAGGAACGACGCTGGCTCTGGGACCGCCTAGGACAGCGCGACCTGGCTGGGGCCGCCCCTGTCCCGAGCCCCGCGGGCGGGCTGGTGCGCGGGCCAACAGTGCTGACCAGCGGCCACCGCGTCAACTGCAGGCGTCCGGGAGTCTGGACAGCGCTGCCTGCTTCCATCCACACCCACCTCCACACCCACCACACCCACCGCGGGCCTCCTCCCCCAGGACGGCCTTGGGCCCAGCTCCGGGTGCTCCGGAAGGGACCCTCCGAAGGCTGGAAGGGGCTTTCCCTTTTCTGAGAATGCAGACACCTTCTGGGCTGAGAACGTGGGCAGCCCAGCCTGCGAGGTCGGCTTATTTCAAAAGAGGAAACCGAGGCAAAGTGGTTAGTTTGCCCCAGGCACCACAACTAGGGATCTGCAGGACACTCCAGGAGGGGGAAAGTCACAGTTTCATTGTAGGAAATGAGCCTCTCTGCTTCCAGGCTTCCAGGCCCCGCCCCTGCCCCCCAGTCCCCAGGCAGCTTCGGGGTGCACCCTGGTGCTTGCCTGCCCCTCTCTGCCCCTCTCTGCCCCTCCCCAGGGGATGGGCCAGGCAGTCTTTACCGTCAGCTCTTGTATTAAGAAGGCTATCTCCGCTCCCACCACTCGAATGTTGTGGACGGCTTGGGTGTAGTCTGTCTTGGCCCCTTGTCTCCAGTCCACACAGATGCAGTTCACCTCCTCCACTTGAAACATTTTCTGGGGGCGGAAAACAAGAGGGAGAAACCAATGTTTGAACAGGCACAGGTTGCACGCTCCAGAGACAGGAATTCACACCCATCACGCACCTAGTTTGTGCCAGAGCTTTAATACTCCTCCCTCTTGTCCAAATCCTCACCACACCACCATGCAGCGGGTATCTCATCCCCACTTAACAGATGTGGACACTGAGGCCTGGGATGGAGTAAGTGACTTGTGTAAGATCTCCCAGATGGTTATTGACACAGCCATGTCAAAACGATCACTTACTAGATCAGGGCTTAGCAAACTGTTACCGGAGGGCCAAATCCACTTGCTCTTATAAATAAAGTTTTATTGGAACACAGCCTCACCCATTTGTCTACATATTCTGTATCTCTGCTACAACAGAGTTGAGTGGAAACTATATGACCTATAAATGCTAACATATTTACTACTTGGCCCTTTATAGGAGGTTTGCTGACTCTTACGCTAGGTAGTTGAAGCCTAGGGGAGTTGTGTTTATGTCCCCAACAATGCGTAGGTGGGAGACAGAAGGTATTGAGGGGCAGGGTATAATTTAGACTGAGGTAGGCTACACCACGCCCGATAGTGCATCTTTTATATCATGTGGTGTGACCACAGTGTACTGCTCAAGCACAGAACTGCTGGTCCCCTAGGGGGACCAAATAAACGTTAGAAAGGGCCACTCCATATCTTGGGTTCATTTGGGGATGCCCTGGACTACACCTTGGTCTGAGGCAGAGAGGAGTTGGCTGGAGGCCAAAGCATCATGATGGACCACGTCCCCCTGACTCCCAGATCCAGGTTCACACGGCCTCCTTCTGGAACTTGGGGGCACGTGTGAACACCCTAACCTCAAGAGAAGCGGACAGCCCTTAAGCCCACCCCAGTGCTGACTAAAAGTCATGCCCATGGTACCTCCTAATGGTTAAGTCTGTAGACACACGGGCTGTGGTATCTATGGACAGAAGACTTGGTTCTGCATTCCTCTGGGTTCAACTCCGGGCAAGTACTGAGTTGAAAATTCGTGCCTTAATTTTCCTCATCTATAAAATGGGAGCAATAACTATACCTGCCTCACAAAGTGGCTGGGTGGTTCAAATGGGACAAAAACTGTGAAATGACTACCAGAGTGTAAGGCTCGGAGTAAGTGCTTGGAAAATGGATGTTAGAAATAATAATTCATTACTAATATTCATGACAACTTTGGAACTGTGCTGTCCAATACTGTGGCCACACATGGCTACTTAACATTAGTTAATGTTAATAGAATTTAAAATTCAATTCTTTGGTCACACTCGCCGCGTTTCAAGTGCCCAGTAAGCGCAGGTGGCTGGTGGACCCTGATGTGGACTCGGCCACTCCAGAACATTTCCCCGTCACAGAAAGGTCTACCCGACAGCAGTGTGTCAGGGGAAAAGGTTTTTGTTTTCTGTTTTCAATGTCACATCGGGGTTTTACATAAACCATCAGAGACAAATGCCAGGTAATTTGCTGCAGTCTCCACTTCTGAGACTTTTTGATTGGACTCTGGGTCTTTTTGGCCTCAAGAGGAGATGGCTGGCTGGAAGTTGGTGGGTTGAGAGAACTTGACAATGGATGTTCCTGAGAACCCAGGGTTTCCTCGTGCTGTCAGGAAGGAGTCCCTGTCCCTGGAGTATCTCCGTTCCCAGTCGAGGGGCTGAGAAGCTGCAGTTTGAATGTGTGTGTGGGTGCTGGTCTCTGCCGGGGTGGCCAGGGGAGGCGGGGGCCCCTACCTTGCACATGTTGGTCAGCCAGCTCTCCTCCCCCTTGTCTATGAAGCCGTGGATGATGAAGCGCGTCTTTCGTTCCAATCGGAAGTTTGAAGCCTCCACAGTGGCGAGGTCCATGGCGGAGATTCGCTGATTAAAATAGAAAAGGTGAATTAGGATGTTGGCCTTTCCAAGCCAGTTCTAGTAAGACTGAGGTCACGGATCAACTCCCGTGGAGTTGGGTCAGGCTAGGACAGCAGTGCCTGACCTGGAGTTTGAGGATGGAATTCAGAAAGTCCAAGTTCACGGCAGCAAGCTACAGTTATAGCAACGTTGTCACCAGTGGAGGTCACTGATATGTTCATGTCACATTGCAGTTGTTGCAGATGTCTTAAAAATCACTAACTCTCACCCTGGCCGGTTTGGCTCAGCGGTTAGAGCGTCGGCCTGCGGTCCAGAGAGACCCGGGTTTGTTCCTGCTAAGGGCACGTACCCCGGTTGCAGTTTGTCCCCAGCCCTGGTTGGGTCGTGCGGGTGGCAACCACTTGATGTGTCCCTGTCATGTCAATGTTTCTCTCTCTCTCTCTCTCCCCCCTCCCACTCTGAACAAAAAAAAGGAAAAATGTCCTCGGGTGAGGATAAAAAAAAAAAAATCACTAACTCTCATTACTATTATAAGTGACAGTAGTTATTGGACCAACCCCTAGATCTTGTTATTTAGTGAGATAATAAAATAGCACACATTTGTGCCACATATTTATCTTTTTAAATATTCTAATAACTGCTTTTCGATAGAATTGATTTCCTTGGCAATCCAATGTATATTATTTTATGCATTTAAATGCACCATCCTGACAAAGGCTTCCCCAGATGCCGGAAGAGTTCCCTGGAACAGAGACGGCGAAGGACCCCGGCCAGAAGCTCCAGGCATGAGGGGCGATGCAGCTCAGTGGAGCGTGAGGGGCAGCTCAGGAACCCCCTCCGCCAGCCCCCTCCGCCAGCCCCTTGTGCCTGAGGAAGGACCACACGGTAAAAAGAGCCCAACCACCTGGCCGAGCAGACACCCAGCCGGCGGCTCTGAGAGGGGGTTGGCCACCTAGAATCCTGCAGCAGCTGACCTCAGGCACCTGTGGACAGTCACTCTGCTCTCTGAACTGCTAGGGATGGGGCTGGGAGCAGCTGGGGTCCTGAGCACGTCCCTGCTGTCCCTTCTAAGCACCTGTCCTGTGTCTACCTGGCGGGCCTGCTGGGGACTGAGGGTCATTTTCAGGATCCTTTTTGCTTTTGTGGGTGAACGTCCCCTCTCCCCCACCTGTCTTCCAGCTCCCAGGAAGAATCTACATCCCCCGACCCTCGTCCCTGAGGGGCTTCTCTTTCCACTGCCCAGCGCGGCAGGGCCCCCCAGGCCTGGGTTTCTCCATACATGATGCTCCTACCCCTTCCTCCCGGACCGCGTGCTGATGCCAGGCAATTCTGTGCACAGCGTGCAGCATGTGGACGTTTCTGGGTCGGGTGTCCATGGAGCTCATCAGGGTTCAGATCCTGAGCACTAAGGGGGGGAGCATCGCGGGCACGAAGCCCCCGAGTGGGTGCCCGAGTCCACCCGCCCGCAGTCACTTCGTGCCCGCTCTTACTTGGTAGTTGTTCGGATTCTCATTTGTGTACAGAAGAAAGCGGGTGTCGATGTCCTTCGGGGCCCAGGGAAATAACTTCATGGGCCGCTGAAGGATCCCCGCCCATGGTTCCTCATCGGAGAAGCAGCCCAAATGTCCATAGCAGATGTCCCTTCCTGGGCAGGAAGAGTGACAGACAGGACGCTGTGAGGTTCTGAAGAGGAGCAATGTCATCTCAGCTACAGGAGGACCCCTCAGGGAGCAGCCCAGGGCTGGTGGAGGCCAGTGCTCTCTACCTTGCTGTCAGTGTTCCCCAAATTCCACGGTGACAAGAGTCACCCGGGGGCTGGCGGGGGGCATATGTGTACCGCATGTACAAGCGATACACACATTCCCAGCCCCTCCCTCAGAGATTCTGAGTCAGGGGTGTGGGGTGGGGGCGGCGGGACACTGACACCGAATGTTTAGTGCTGTTTTAACCCTTATCATCAGGCCGGTGTGGGGGTGGGGAGGCTGAGCACTCCTGGGAATCTTCTGCCTCAAAACTCCCTCTTCCGGGAGACTCCGGACGGCCCTGTACCGTATTCATCCAGCATCGGGTATTTCCAAGTGCCCGCGATTCTGTGGCACAGAGGTGCCACCTGACGGACCCTGCTGTGGGCACCTCGCCCAGCACAGCCCACGCACACAGCAGCCGCCCCCGGCTGCTGTCCAGGTCCCCGGTCTTCCTGTCATCCTGCGCACAATGTCGCCAGGTTATCCTCTGCCGTCCTAGATTTTCCCCACCGTTCTCTCCAAAGGTAAACTTCTCCAGGCCAGTGATGGTTTGTCTTTGCGTCATCCTGTATACAGTAGGGGCTCAGTAGATGCAACCGATGGCCCAAGTCACCGCATCTAAATCTGAGGGTCCCCTCCCCTGCCTACGGCGTAAGCGTCGCCTGCTCTGACAGAGGACGTCTAACAGGGAGGAACCTCAGAGGCCTTGGCTCCCTGCCTGGAAGAGGCGCAGCCCCAGGAAGGCCTGCTGGAGGCTACAGGTGGTAAATCCGGAACCTGAGGCCAGGGCCCGGCACCCGGGCTGTCAGGCGGGTAGTGAGTGGGGCGGGCTGGAGGGTGTTGAGCTGGTGCGTGTGGGGGGACTTGTGCTCCATGCAGGTGCTCGGAGAGCCACATGTGGGTGGCTCAGGGCAGGGAGCCTGGGAGGGGTGGGGTGGGGTGGGCAGTGCCGGGTGGTGGGCCTGAGAGTCATGAGCATTCGGGGTTTGGATGACAGTGGAAAAGAAGGGAAAGGTGGCAAGGTGGGGTAGGGAGTGGAGCCCGAGCCGGACAGGTGGGTCGGAGGCGTGGTGGGAGGCCCTGGTGAGCTGCTGGGACCTGGGAGGTGGGGCAGAGACTGGGCAAAGCGGACGCCAGAGGAGAAGGAGGAGGAGGTGCCTGGCCGTGACCTTGGCGGATGCCCACAGTCCGGGCAGAGAAGGCAGCAGAGGCACGGAGGAGACCAAGGGGGTCAGAAGGCCCGAGGAGCAGCCGGACCTTGTGGGCTCTGCTCTCGGGAGTCAGGTCTTGCTGCATGGCCAAGGTGGGAGGGAAGGACAAGGGTGGGCTGGGGACACGCCGAGGAGCCGAGAGCGAGGCATCATGGTGCAGAAGAAAGCCCCAGGGAAGGATGCAGAGGAGAGGCTCACATTGGAGCTGGAGAGACCGAGATGGCAACTCTGAGAGGCATGACATGGGAGGACATGGGCAGGAGGGTGGACGTATGTCCCAGGCCTGGCAGGACAGGAGGTCTCAGAGGACACGTCCGTGCGGCTTAGGCCGCAGACATGCACTGTCCACTCAAGAGACTGAGGATACTGGGGGCCTACCCAGAGCGCGCACTCCCCACCTGGCCCAGCAGCCCACCCCTTGCCACCAGCAAAGCTTCTGGAACAGGGCGGACAGACTGCCCGGGGCCACCTGTGCCCAGCGTGTGGCCCTGTGTTTACCACAGCGTCAGCACTCCCTGAATGGTGGCGGCGGTTGTTTTTCTTGAAATCATGATAACGCTATTAATTAGGATGATATAATAATGATGATGATGCCTCCGACAGCCCCACCCAAAGGCCAGCCCAGGCACGGTCACTCTCTCCCCGAAGGGATGGTGACAGCATCCTCACCTCTGACGGTGGCCAGCAGGAGAAGGCCGAGGACCCAGGAGAGCAGCATCTACGTGGAGGAAACAGACACCGTGCGGACAGTCACAGACCCCGGACAGGGCAGGTGGCCAGGCCACAGGGGCCCGTGAGTGAAACAGAAGCCGGGGCCTGGGCTCCATCGGGCTGGCCCTCAACGCGGGGACCCTGAGGCTCAGGCCTGCCCCCACACAGGGAGGGGGGCAGCACCTCTGTAGAACCCTGGGCTGGGGTGCTCCCCAGCCCAGTGGCTCCCCCTTCGAGGCCGCGTCCCTGCAGCAGCCTGACCTAGCCGAGCTCCCTGACTTACTGTGTGTCACCAGGTTCCACTCAGCCCACAGGTTGGCCACGGCCTTTTATAACCGGGCTTGGTCCTTTGGACTCCTGCGAGGAGGGCCCGGGACAGGGAGATAACTGCGCTTTGGACCCGGCTTATCATAAACACATAGTCAGCGGGAGCGCGGCTGTTTGTCAAGTGGGACTCGAGGGAACAACAACCGGCTCTGCGGACATAAAGACCCTGTTGATCTGAATGTGCAGGTTCACGTGCCAAAAGATTGTGTCCCCAGGTGATAACAGGGAACCTCAAGCCTTCTGTTCAAAATCCCTCCGGAAACAGGAGCCCAGGCCGGGCTGGGTGCCCCGCAGGCGCCGACGGGGACGGGACATCCGTCCTCATTGCTCCTGAGGACACCGGCTCCCCTGCTGTGGGTGGGGCGGGTGGACAGCAGCCCTCCACAGGGCCTGGCGCAGAGTGCAAACGGGGGCAGCCCTGGTGAGCAGGAACCAAGAGAACAAACACTGCTTAAATGGGGCTTTGTTGGGAAAAAATGCAGTCCATGTTCAAAGCATTTCTGCGCTGCTTCGACTGTACCTTAACCTGGAGATAAGAAGGCGGAGGCGTTTTCTTGCCTCCCCTGCCCCGGAGGAGGAGCTGGGTGAGCAGCCGGTGCCGCTCTGCCAGGTTGAAATGAGCAGATGCTTGAGCCACACCCAGCGTATGAGTCTTAAGTTCAAACGTCAGCGCAGTTTGATGAGTTTCCACAAAGGCGTGCTCCTGTCTGTAGGCCCCGGATGAAGACATACAACATTTCCAGCAGCCAGAGGTTCTCTCAAGGTCCTTCTACAGCCCCGCACCCCCCAACAGTGCTGTTTGGCCTGTTCTGGAGTCACATACACACGGAATCAGGCAGCAAGTTTTGAGATTCATCCGTGTTGTCACGTGTATCAGTAGTTGGTTCCTTTCGGGCGCTGCGCCACATCGCTCTAGTTCTGTGTGAAGAGATCTCAGCTAGCTCACCTGTTGTGTCGGCGGACATGAGTTTTCTTTAGTTTGGGACTATTGTTGGTGCTGCAGCAGGAACATTCTAGTCGACGATACGTTTGCTGTAGACATCTGCGCTCATTCGCTCGGGCTCATCCCCAGGAGTAGGCTTGCCTGGGTCCTGGAGCACGTGCCTGCTTAGCTTTAGGAGATGCTGCCCAGCACTTTGCTGAGGGGCTGCGTCTGCGTGACCCCCGCCGGCAACTGGGTAGAGTTCCAGCCGCCCTGCCTCCGCCCCTGTCCTCTGACCCATCCCAGAGACACGGAGGCTGCCGGCAACGTCCCGGGGCTTCAGGTGGAGAAAAATGGCACCGTCCAGGTTTGTGGAACCGGTAAAGGTGTGAGGAAGCCGGGTGGGGTGGCCTATACCTGACCATCCGAGGCCTAAAGTCACCTGCTGCCCCTGGAGGTGTCCAGCAGCTGGGAGAGCTTGGAGTCGAAGGCTCATACAGGACCCCACTGAGGAGGCTGGAATGGCAACATTAGGCTGATGGAAGCCCTAAGCCATGGCAAGGGGCCAGTGGCTGCCTGTCACTCTTGGGAAAACCCCAACTCCTCACCATGGTCTTTGGGTGCAGTGTTGCCTGGGCTTTGCCCCCCCCCCCCCCCTCTCTCTCTCTCTGTCTTGCTCACTGAATTCCAGGTGCACCGGCGGGCTGGCCTTGTGTACAGTGTTTTGAAAGTGCCCACTTCGGGGTCTTTGCATATTCTGTTTCCTCTTCCAGAAACACCCTACCCTCCTCTTTCCCCAGCCGTCAAAGTCCCCCAAAGCTCAGCTTAAATGCCACACCCTCGAAGAAGCCTTCCTCGGTGCCCGTGTGGGACCCGCTTTTCCTCTGCATTCTTACCATGTTCCCGTTTTTCTTCCATGAACACAGCCCCGTTGGCCATTCTGTTTCAGCGATGGTTTGTCTAGACCTTGCCGTGGCGGAAGCACCACAGTTTGTATAGTCATTTGTGTGGCGCCAGCGCCTTGCTGGAGGGAAGGATGGGACCTTGGAAGCTAATAACTCGTGGGGTTGGTGAGCTGAGTAACTCCCACATCCCTCCTGCCTCTCCTCCCTGCCCTGTGGCTGGAGGATGCTTCCGTAGCCTCCCATGCTCCCTGCCTTGGCCTTCTGTTGGTTCAGCCAATGGGAGGCTCCGCAGGGAGGTCAGCGGGGAGGAGGGAGAGGTTAGACTCTGTCTGCCCAGGCTCCCTCCTTTCCGTGCTGTGGTTAGGCAGCGTCCACACTTCTCTCCTGAGGACCGCACCTCCTCTCTCATGGCCCCGGCTCCTTCCCGTGCTCCCTCCCCCCAGCCTCAGGCCACAGGGATGCCAGAGCTTCTAGTTGCTGCCAGCCCCTGGGTGCATCGACCTGGGGTAGGTTCCCTAACCCTGTCCACGCCTCTGTAAACAGTCCCTTTGAGAAGCCCTTTGAGTCGTCCATCTCTGCCTCTGACAGGCGCAGCTGGCCACTGGACTCCCCCGTAAGCGGAGGTGGTTCAGAGGCCCGTGGTCCATCCAGGGGGGTTGGCTAGGTTTGGGGCACCTTCCTCTCTTGACTCCATGTGAGGGTTTCTGTCCCTGTTAGGAAAGGGTTCTGCACTGGGTAGTTCTCGGGGGTTTGGTTTTGCGAGCTACGCGGACAGCAGCCAACCCATGCTGTGACTTGGTTGCGGTTTTTGCCAAAGGTTTAGTGAGTTACCTTCAGGTAATCAGTGGGTCCCGTCATCCATGCCCTCCTGGTTCCAGCCACAGATTAGTCAAGGAATCAGGGAACTTCTCTCCTGAGGGGCTTTTCATCTGGTCAACAGCCACCCCCAGAGGGCAGAGCTGGGAAGGAGGGGGAGGGTGTTAGTTCAATTCTCGTCACTTTCAGGTCATCTGGCTCCGTTCTAAACACCCGGGGTAGATCGTGGTCACCTCTGTCCTCGAGGGACTCACGGAGGCACATTTGTTCACTATAAGGAGAAACTTTCCAAAGGTCAGAATGATAGGAAAATAGATTTTTTTCCCATAATGTTTGCGGGTGGGGAATGACCTACCTCACGTGGACACATTGTGACTTGAGCAGAGGTGGACAGAAGCCAAGGATCGGGGAGGGTTAATCAGAGGACCTACGTTTAAGGTCCTTCTCAGATCTGGGACCCCCACAAGATGTTTTGGAAACTGAAACCTAGAGAAAAGATTCGACCTTTCCATTCAAGCGACAGTCGCCCGAGGGAGCACATTCTCCAACGCCCTTCACGCCCTTCGCAGAGGATAAGAAATCGCCCAAGAGGTGGCCAAGTCCAAGGTGATGAGAAATAAGCCAGACGAACACATCTGGGAGCGTCGTCTCAAGGACAGGTGTGCGGGCCACGAGAGTGCTGAGCGTCGGGACGGCGTCAGGTGGTGGCGGTCCAGAGGTGGCCTGGGAGAAGACGGCCGTGAGAAGCCGCAGCTGTAAAATGCTCAAGAATCAGAGCCTGTTCCTTCCCAGCTTACAGCCAAGACAACCAGGGTCCTGAAGGTTGAAGGGCTTAGTTTAGGGCGAGTGGCAGAGCAGGCCTTGCTCTTAGGGCTCCACCTCCTTCTGTGGTGCGGCTGCTCTTTCCTTCTGTGGGTCTCAGTTGGATGACCTGGGGAATGGGTGGAATCTAGGCCACTGATTTGGGAACAGTGTCCCTGCATTAAGCTGCCCCCCCAAGAGGGCTGGGCACACCTGCCACAGTCACTAGTCTCAAGCAGTCCTGGCCGGCCTGGTCTCTTTGGCAGGGTGGCCCAAAGCAGGCCCCTGGGGTCCTAGGCTGTCTCCCATTTACCTGCCCGTGGCGGGGCCAGCTCAGCTCCCCTCTCCTTTCTGGGGACCCGAAGTTCTGAGATTCTGCCAGCTGTCTGCCCTGGGAAGAAAGGGAAGGCCAGCACCTGTGGGAAAAGTCATTCACTGCCACATGTTGGCAGGTGGCGGCAGGGTCAGGGCCTGGGGGGGCCCTGCCTGCGGCGGGCTGGGGGGATGGGGGTAGCTTGGGTCTTCCTCTGCACTCTGAGGCCTGTTGAAAGTTTGTTCCTCTCCAATACCTCTTTTATGTGCCCCTCCCCTCTAGTCCCCTGTCCCTGCCCTGGTGAGACTGGCATCCCCTCTCTAGGTCACTGCATCGCCCCTCCAGGTCACCCTCCCCCACAACTCCCAGCTCTACTCCTCCGGTGGCCCCTGGACACCCTCAGGGGCACGATCCACGTGTCTGTTCACTCACTCACGTCTATCTTCACATGTCTACACCGTGTGGGACGCTCTTCCAGCCTCGAGGGTGCACAGTGAGCAGAACGTCCGCCCTCCCGGTCCTCATGTGGCTGATGGTCCATGGGCGCAGACACCGACTGCCTACAGGTCAGTACGTAATTACAAACGAGGAAAAAGCGCACAGAGGAGGGCTTGTACCCCGGCTATATCATTTGAGCTTTATCTAAAGACAATAACTTAGGGCTATAAGTTATTAGCCCTGTAATAACTTAGGGTAGAGAGGGGTCCACATTTAGGTGGAGTCCAAGCTCTTAAACTAGGCATACAAAGTAGGCCACTGCAGCCCAGCTGGTGTGGCTCAGTGGACTGAGCATCGGCCCATGGACTGAGAGGTCCTGGTTCGATTCCTGGTCAGGGCACATGCCCAGGTTTCGGGTTCTATCCCCAGTATGGGGTGTGCAGGAGGCAGCCAATCAATGTATCTCTCTCACATCAATATTTCTA